AGCGCAGGGCTGCGCGCGCCGGCACCATGTGCCTGGCGTGGGTGGCGGCGCTGACGTGGGAGCACGCGGTGCTGCACGCAGCTCGTGTGCCGGTGGTGAAGTGCCTGTCCCTGCACGGTGATGGGGCTGGGGGATAAGGCTTGCCTGCCCGAAGTGGCCTGGGGTGGGGAACGGTCAGCACAAGGGGTGAGCCGATGGGGGGGCCAGGCAGCCTGGTGCAGGCAGGAGGGTCTGTACAGCGGGCTCGAGTCCATTGAGGGCTTCCCAGCCCCGGGGGGGTGGCAGGGGCCCAGAGCCTGGCGGGGACAAGGGTATTGCTGCTGCGGGGAGGCGCGTCCCGCCGCGGCTGAGGTAACCAGAGCGTCGGTGCAGGATGGGACGGGGCCCTGGGGGGCTGTGGCCAAGCCCTCACCGGCTCCCCGCACCCAGAGCACCGCCGCCGCACCGCCGGCACCCGTCCCCCAGCACGTTATTGCTTCATTAATGGTGGTGGGGGGCTGCAGGGGCCTCACTGCCGGCTGGTCTCCTGCTCCACCTTGATGGTGCCACGGGGGGGCTCCGGGGGGGCAGGAGGACCCCGTTCTGCCAGCCCGTCCTCGAACTCTGTGGGGAGAGGTGGGAGATGGTGTCAGGGCACCGCTTCCGTAGGGAGAAGGCAGCCGTGCCACCTGGACTCCCCTGCCCACAGCAAACCCCTGCCCCAGCCCCGGGGGGGCTCACCTGGTCCCGGGGGCTTCCCCGGCAGGCAGGGGCTTAGCCGCCCCACGCGCTCGTGCGAGACCAGCCGGGCCAGGCGCAGCCCCTCGTCCATCAGCGTCTGCTGGAGGATGTGGCGACTCCAGAGCCCATGGGGAGGGAGGCCGAGGGGCACGTCGGGGGCTGCGCTGGGCGGTGGCGTCAGCCGGGGACAGGCCCCCGCTGCTGCGGAGAGAAGGGCGAGAGTCAGTGCCAAGGGGCTGGGGGGGGGCGGCCACCACCTGCCCACAGGCACCCCGGGAAAGGAAGGGGCCCCCACTCACCCTGCAAGTGGCCGTCAAGGCTCTCCCCAGAGAGGCTGGCTGCATCCTCCTCCAGGCTGGCTCGGTACGCAGCCCCGGGGGGCTCCGGCCCCACTGGCAGCGGAAGCAGCTCAGGGCGGCTCTGCTCTCCTGCCTGCCAGGAGCGCACGGGTGAGCACAGGGCCCTGCGGACAAGCCCCGTCCTGCCAGGGGGCTCTGCACCGCCTGCCCCAGGATGCCCACAGCTGCACACGCAGTGCCCGCTCCACGCCGCTGCCCCGGAGCCCCTCACTGCCTGCCAGAGCCAGCATAGGCAGCCCCGGGCACGCTGCACCCTCCTGCCTGTGCGCAGGCGAGCACCTGCCCACGCTCACAGGTGTGCACCCCTGCACGCGCATGTGCACCCCCCCCCCACCCACACCCCCGTGCATGCGGGTGTGTGCCCCCCGCGCACCCCTGGGTGCATACCCACCTCCTGCTTGAGCCGCTTGGCCGGGGTGGCGCCGGTCTCCCTC